ATATAATTGAGCTCTTGGTTCAGTCTGAGGATTCAGAGCCTTAACCTAGGTGAGTTAGCAGACCAACTCCACATCAAACCCATTTTTTTATTTTTTTATTTAAAGGCTTTTGGGATGGAAACTCAATATGGTCTCAAAGGAAAATGCAATATAGTGATAAACAGCACTAGTTATTTTATATGGTATGCTTGTCATGATCAGCGACTCCTGCATGACAAGCAGTACATATTAACGGTGTACTTGGAGGGCAATGGCAGAGTACATACAGGATACTTACAGGGGTAAATATAAGGTACTTACAAGGTAATCACAGCATATATACAAGATTCATAGGGCATGCATAAAGGATTCTTATAGGTGTATGTACAGTGTATTTACAGGAGTAGGTACAAGATACTTAAAGACAGCTGTAAGTACTTGATACTGATGGGGTACATACATGGTAATGGCAGAGTACCTAGTATGAGGGGTACTTACATTGTAGTTACAAGGTAACTGCTGGATATTTATGTGGCTACATACATGGGTACTAACAATACCTGTAAGAACTGGGCAGACCCTGGACTGTGCCCCATTGAGGCTTTATGTCGAGCAACACTCTTGTCTTCACTCAGTACCACTGTTCCTAAATTCATTTTGATGTTTATTTAACAAATAATAAAATATAAATTGTGTTATTTATTAATTTAGTCATTAATTGCATTGACTGCACATCTACTACTGATTAAACTTTGGCATCAACTTAATTCAAGATGGCTGCCACAGCTAATCATCTTACATGACATAAAAATTACTATTATAAAGTCATTTTTACAGATACTGAGCTACAGTTTGGTGGTGGTGTAGCTTAGGGTCATTCACAACACATACTTTGAGCGTTAACAAATTGTAATAGACTGCAAAGTCACGTTAAACCATGAGTACCATTGATTACGAAGTTTTCCCAAAATGGCTATTGTATAACAGTCATTTCCCATCTTACAGATTGTGTCATTGGAAGTCAACAAATATCCTCAAATGATGAATGTTATAGGTGTTATAGGTGCTCAAAGAAAAAAAAATGACTGAATGAATCAGTTTCCTGATTCACTTGGTTATTTTGCTCAGCAATGTGGATAATAATCGGGAATGTTTGCAAAAGACACGTTCATTTTTAGAATTTAGAGAAAGAAAACATCTCCATAAGGAATTCATTGAAAAGAGTCGGTACGTTAAGCCGGCTCGGTCACAACCAGCGCGCCACCAACTTTAACAAAGTACTGTTGGGTGTCCATTACTTACTGCGATGAACTCCAAACCATTATAATACAGAACATTCTATGAAATTAATAATTAATTACTGAATATAAGGCTTGCAGGCTGATCATATATAAGTAAAAGTAGTTTGAAAAGATCCCACATCACATAAAATAAATATAATACGTAAAAAAGGGGTAAATATTCAAGGATAAGAAAAGTTCATTTTATCATTTTGAAGTTTCCAAGTCAGATTAAAGTGAGCGCCTGAATTTTGGCCACACTGTTGAAAAAGTAAACAGTAAATGCTCTCATTCATTTCAAAGGCTTTCTTGACAAGAACATATAAAATCAGCTGGTCAGATCAATATGACCCCAGGAGAACAGGGCATGGCGTATTTCAAGCTGTCAATACTTCTCTAACAAACGCTCATCAAAAAAGCCACAATCTGTGAGCTGCAGCCAACCCCTATCCAGTTCCTCCCTTTAACCACTCCCCTCTTGTTAACAGGGGGACAGTGCTGTGCAAAAGACTTGAGTCACTGTTTATTTCTCTATGATTTGCTTGTAAGAAATCAGATGTTTTTCCATTTATTTTTATTAGACTTTCTTTTAAAGTATATTTTGGAATTTGGCTGCCAGCTCACTCATTTTTGGTACAGTGCCTGACCATTTACAAATGAAGATATTTATTTGTTTATTTATTTATTCATTTGATAAATCTTTTAACTCCGACTACTGAATTATTCAGGCATGAATAACCCCAGGAGCACAAGGGATGGACAGGTGCTGTGTTAATACAGCGTGAGATATCCTTCCAACAATTACTTTTTGAGAGTTTTATGAAAATCCATCGAATGGTTTGGTTTGTGAGATATTTTACCAACACAGCAGACAAAACAAGCACATGAGCAGTTACATTGCTCGTCTTTTGGCAGCAGCAGCTAAAACGTAAACCGTTACAACTGAAAGCCGAGCTAACTTTGTACCATTTGAGTTTAATTCAACAAATTCTAGATTATGATAAATTTAATTTTAAGCGCTCTTTATGTTTTCTATTGGCACCACCTTCAGGACAGCTTTTGCAATTTCTGCTAATGAAAACATCAACAACATCCCATTCCGGTGGAGTCTAAAGGCTCCAGTATTTTTTTTTTCATTTAGCCTTTATTTATCCAGGTTAGTCGCATTGAGCCACGAGAACTCATTTTCAAGAGAGACCTGTTTAGGGAGCACACGGTGGGGGTTAAGGGCCTTGCTCATGGGCCCAGTATACTCGCGTGGACCTTCTTCCACGCGGACTTGACGTGAACGCAGATGGTTGAGACTTCATACTCGTCCGTCCACCTTGAGCGGCTGCAGACCAGCTCCGCAGGCAAAGGGTGTTTACCTTCGGGATAAACTGAGTTTGCCGATTGGTCATTTGCTGACACGCCTATTGGATTGATTGACAGGTAAAAAAAAAACGAGAGCTGGCAGCAAGAGGCAGCGGTGTTCTGTGTTTATGTGTTATTAATAAAAAGTTATATAAAAAAATAAACCAGGGAGCGCTAGCCCTGCAGCCCACACATCAGACCAGTCCACCAGGAAATCTCCAGACTCTCCCGCAGCCACACTGGACCCAATTTTAATTTGTTTGTGACAAATTCCTTAATTTCTCACCATTTCAGTCATGGCATCAACGGAGGATGAGGAAGAGATCACTTGCCTCTTGGGAAAAAAACTAAAGAGAAGGCCATTAAACCAGATCAGGGATGAAGAAGTGGAATTTAATACATTGGTGTCGCATACAAAACAGTCCATCGCCGGGCAGTTTATTGTGCGACACCGAGTACGAGTACGCAGTCGTAAAAATCGAGCTTTGCACAGACATGCCCTGCGGGCATATGCTTCGACTCTAATCTGGTACGTGCAGACCTCGGCGGACTGACGTATGCCCGACTATACAGAAGCCTTAAGCATTTCAATTTGGTCTCGTGTCACTAATTATAGCTGCTGTGGTGCCATAATGGGGGCTCGTCCGTGAAGCTTTCTGTACTGCTGAATGCTCCGCAGATTTGAAAACAAGATTTTAGACCCTGGTGAGAGACGGAACAGGTTGAGCTTTGTCACCAATGAGTCACCAGATACACAGCAGTGGATATTTGCATAAAGGAGACTTCCTTTCATCACCTGCTTTTATTTTCTAACATTTGTGCATTTGACTGTAAGGCCCCCCCCCCCCCCCCCCCCCCTCACCAGAAATAAATTGGTGCTATTAGCAAGAACCAGCCTGGTATGAGTCAGTTGTTTGGCAGGTGGCAGCGCTTAATGGAGCCGAGTTTCTTACGTTCCTCTGAGTGAGGAAGTGTGTGAGCGGATCGGGTCAGAACATCCTTTTTTATCTGCACCAGCGCTGAAGACATTTGCAGCAGGTCATTAGTTTTACCATGCCTCGGGTTGTCGAGCTCCGCTTGGCACACAGACTTCATTAAACTCTGGTCTAGAGCGTGACTCAAGTCCTTCATTTTCTGGTTCCCTGTTGTCTGTCAGACAGTCGCCTTCATTATTTGCCTTTTCCTCTCTTTGCATACGCCCTCGTATTCATTCTGTAAAAAAAATCCCAGCAAAGTGGTGAATGTGAGATTTATTCTTTTTTTTTTTCAGTTTCAGGTTAAAGTTGCTGGAAGATTAGCATCAAAAAGTATCATTACAAATAAAGCCCACCACCTTTCATGTATCTGGAGCCTTTCAACTGACTGTTTTTGCCATTTTAGTGTTGGCTAATGATTAGCTATGGCAACCATCTTAAATTGGATCAACTCCAAAAGATAATCAGTTATAGATACAGATCCAGGAACTACTTTCTGCAAGCTGTACTAAAATCCGCCCAGTGGTTCATGAATTATTTTACTAACAGACAAGCACACAAAAAAAAACACGGCCCTTTTCCATCAATAAAGATGATCTCAACTTTATTTTTGTAATCATCATACCTTTTATAACTTCATATTTATAACGTTGTCCAGCAGATCTGGTGGCTCCAAGTTAAAGTAATGGTTCAGACCATTTGAAGTGGGATTCTGAAGGTTGTAAATAGTTAATATCTTACCTGTTATAGGTAGCTCATTAATAGAGCTCCATTTGGAGAAACAAGGTTGAAATCTGACCAGACTGGCGAGCTAATAGCCAAATTTTATTTTACAAACCCTTGCAATGAAATCACAATTCAAAATTTCACAATACATGGATATTTACATTTACATCAAACTATGGTTATTTACAAACGCTATAGGCGGCAGCAGCTAGCTGTGGCACTTTAGGCAGGAAAATCATCATATTTCTGCTGCCATAATCGTTTAGCGTAAAACAGATGAAAATATTAATGTTTATGAAGCAGGTTTGCATTAACTGATATAAAATTTTGGATGTTTGAGTTATCTAAAGTTGGCAGGAATCCACTTTGATCAAACTAGCTCTTACTCTGAGCACAGATCAGCATTCATGCTCTTCTTTTTTTTTCCTCTCAGTTTCATTGAGTGGGACATAGCAGGAAACTTCCTCTTATTTGAGCTGCTCCTGACAATAGTCCTTCTGTTTTTCCTGTCACTGTGAGGAGACGGACCAACAGACGCAGTGCTGTAGAAATGAGTCAGACAGGTAAAAAAAAAAACATTGACAATTTATCTTAATACGGCACATAATGACTAATGAGGATGATTAATTCATGAGACTTTGTGAGTTGATTTGTGGATGTTTTTACTGAATAGTTTATGTAAAGCTGCCTAAAGAGCTCAGGTAGGTAGAAGCAGGTGTGTTATTATGAAAAAAAGAGTAAAACTATTTTTCTTTCTTTAATTTTGACAGAAGACCTCCTTATCGTCTACGAGACTGAAGCAAAGCAGTGGGCATCCTACCTTCAGTCAGCTTTCACTGGTCCAGTCTCGGAGGATGGGATCTGTTGTTACGACATCACCACGGTGTCCAGTCAAAGAGACGACTCCCTCAGGCTGTCCCGCTACAGCTGCAAGCTGTTGATCCTCACCAGGGGAATGCTGGAGGGCGTTTGCCAGCTGCGGCGTTCCTTCTTGTCCCGCGTGTTGAGTCCTGCAGGTCGGGTTGTGGTGCTGCTGTGCGGGGTGGACAGCATGACCCCCCTGCTCAACCTGGTGCCCCTGAACACAGACGAGTGCCTGCAGATCTCCAGTGAACAAGATGCTCCTGACTACATGTCCAGCGTGATTAGCATCATAAGAAAAGGTAATTGTTCAGTTTTACTCGATGGAAACCTTCCAGAAGCAAACAGTGACGTTTTATTAATGCAGCTTTTAGTGGAGGGGCCAAATCTCAAGTTAAATGATAGTTTTTTTTTTTTATCTAATTTTACAATAATATATAAATATTATATATTATATAATAATAATATATTAATTTTATCAATTTTATCTACTTTGGTCCTGGTAGACCTCAGTGCTGCATTTGATACAGTTGATCACAATATTCTACACTACAGAGGCTTGAATATGATATTGGGATTACAGGAACAACTCTAAATTGGTTTGAATCATATTTATTTGTTTGTAAATGTAAATAGTGAATCTTCTTACACCAAAAGTTAGTTATGGAGTTCCTCAGGGTTCCGTGCTTGGACCAATACTCTTTACCATGCTTCCATTAGGTAAAGTTATTAAACAGCATGGGATCAATTTTCATTGTTATGCTGATGATGCACAGTTATATTTGTCCATGAAACTCAATGAGTCCAATCAGCTACTTAGACTACAAGCATGTCTTAAAGACATAAAAACATGGATGATCCTTTATTTTCTGCTTTTAAACTCAAACAAAACAGAGGTTTTGGTTTTTGGACCTGAGCATCTTAGGAATAAATTTTGCAGTATTTTACCAACTTTAGATGGCATTAATCTGACCTCCATCTCTAATGTTAAAAAAACTTGGTGTTATTTTTGATCAGGACATGTCTTTTAACTTGCTTTTTATATACAAATGTTTTTGAACAGTTCCCTGAGATGACTTCTGTTGTGACTTGGCGCTATATACGTAAATAAACTGAACTGAATTATTTTGAGTTACTGAAGTTTTGAGAAGCCTGCCATGTTTAAAACAAACAAAACAAAACAAAAAAAAAAATCCCATAATTAATTTCCTTTATTTTGAAGCAATGGCTCATGGGAGTTGTGGAGCTGCTAATGTCCTAACTTCCTGCTACGCTAATGCTAGCTTACGCATATGAGTAGATTTAATTTCTACTTTGTTATTTTAAGTTATATCTTTCTGTCCTCTTCTATACCAGTACTACAATTTATGTTTTTGTTAGCATCCCCATCACTAATAAAAACACATTGTTCTTGAATAATTCCTTTGTTTTTCTTAACTTAGCATCAACTACGTATGCTAATTTCAAACCAAAATTGTTATTAGCTCCCACACAATACAGTTAGCTTACATTTTCTATTTGTAAAGAGACCCGTGGCACTGATTTACCGCTTTATCAGCGTGTAAATGTTTCATCCAATGTTAAATATAAGACTCACATGGTGAAGACGCACATTTAGCACCTGCAGAGAAAATTGTGTGTTTTGTACCATTAATTCTCTACCAAAAACCTCATGCCTCCTCACTTTTTTCCCAAATAGCACAATTTGTATGAACTCCAAATGCAAAGGAATGGGACTGTGTTTAAACAGGCGGGTGAGGAGGAACATCTCATGCAAATGTGACCACTGATTACTCACTGGGAGCCATGCAAATGTTAATAGCATGCATCCCTCCATGGCTCTGATACCGTGAAGGGTTTCAGACTACGATCCCATGGACTGTTATACTTTTACTAAGAAGTACCTCTGCTTTTCATACAGCGTGATGTTGTTTGTTGACTAGGAATGAAAATTCAGGCTGGTGTTGGTTGATTTTTTTATAGAAAGACGGCGCTTTTTGACTGGTTTCTCAATAAAACCTACTGTACGTCAACGCTAATGCACTGGAAATCATTAGCTTTTTGTTTATAAATCCCTTAAAATTACACAAATACTATGGAGCATTTATATAATCTAATTTAATCTTGTTTGATTAAATATCCCCACTAAATAATCAAAATTTGTGCTGAAGCAAAATAAACATGTAAAATGCTAACATAAAAAAAAATGCTAACGTGACTCCATTTTGGAAGGTATAGCTGCGATGTTGAACTTTTTCACCACCGTGTTGGCAGGAAACACAATAAGACACAGTCCGCAGGTTTGTTTAAAAGACAAACTTCTGATCGTATCCACGGCAGCTGAGAGAAATTTTACTTTGCGACATTATCTCCAGATAACGAGCTATATTTTCAATACCAGAGCTTGAAGATTTCACCATCTCATCATCTCAGGATTAAAAGAAATCTTACAATAAACAATGAAAATATTTAGTATTTTAATTCGAGAAGGTTGGCTTCATGGAAAATATATATTTTTTTCAAAGCTACAATAAAAATACAAAAATGGCCTTTAAAAATATCTGAATCAGGTCATGCTAAGAGCTGGTTCAAGATGAAAACAAAACTTATTTCCTCAAGATAATCTAGCTTGATTATCTCAAGACAAGTTAAAAACTTCCTCCATGCTCTTCTTGGCTTCAGTAGATGGTTTTTTTTTCTCAATTATTCCTGAACCACTGAGCTAAATGCTAACAACAAAATGCTAACATAAACAGTGATTGTGGAAGGTGCAGTGTTTAGCGCCATTGTTTGTCAGGGGTCACCACAGTGAATTATCTCGCACAAAGACTTGGCAAATGTTTTACGCCGGATGCCCTTCCTGACGCAACCACAGACCGCCGAGCACCACAGCCCTCCGTGTGGAGCAGAGCTGCCATCTATGGCACCCGGGGAGCAGATGGTGGGGGTTAAGGGCCTTGCTCAAGGGCCCAGAGTGCAGCAAACAAGGGTGGAGGCTGGTGTGGGTGTTCCACCTATCCCCCCCACATTTTGATGTTGTCGGCACGGGGTAATTTTACCTACCTAGTAGGGTTCATCGTCCACCTTTGAATAAATATATGTTTATTGTATGTGTTTTGTTTAATCCTAGGAATTTAGAATGCATTTCAAATGGCTGGAAAATGTGCAGTTTTGAGTAGATTATTATTATTTTGTTTATTCTTGGGGGCGGTATAACTCCTAAAGAACTAAAACATGCTAGAATAATAAAATTGTAAGCTAACCTTTACAGTGGTCATATCACTGTTATTGTCAGGTGTGTTTTCCAAATTTTATAATTGTTTTGAAGATATTTCCAGAGTGACCCCTTGGCCTTTATGTGATTTATTTGAGTAAAGCCATGGTACTCCTGGCTTTGCTGCCGGTATTATTTTGCAAAGAGACAAACAGCTTAATTTTTTTTTTTCCAGGTGCATTAGCCACAGCGGGAAATGTCAACCACTTGACTTGTAAACCATCTGGACCAGTGCAGAAGGCTAAGCAGATGCAGTCGTCTGGAGCAGACAGGGTCAGAACCAACGTTGTGGTCATTCCCTCAAGAGTTCCCTGCGGGGTGAGCGATGCTCTTCCAGTAAGTCAGTTTGTTGGTTCAGACAGAAGCAGAAATCTCCGGTACGGTCTGCTCGGCAGAGCGCCGCTGAGGTGTTCGTTCTTCTGAAAGACGAGGCGGCTGCCGGCGACTGTGAGGTGGAGTTCGGCGATGGCGATCAGGTGGTGAGAGTGAAGCCTGTTCGGTGGAACGAGCTCGTCCTATGCGTCAGTGCACCAGGTGAACAAAACAGTAACTCGCGATGAAAACGTACAGCTTCAAAAGCACTCTAACAGATATGCATGACCCTTGTGTGCGTTTCTGCTGTAGACTTCCCTGCAGGGAATGTGAGCGTGACTGTCTACAGTGGTGGAAAGTCAATGAGAAGTACACAGTTGCAGTACTACACAAGTATGGAGGAACTCAATCGTCTACTGTCAAGGGTGGCCGATCCTGTACAGTTCATGTGTCAGGTAAAAATCCTTTAATGAGCTGTAACGGCATGTTGATCGTTTTATGAAGGGACTTTTCTCAGATTCACCCGCAAAGGTCCGTGTTTACTGTGGAGATTCTCATCATTGCCGAAAAATGCTGAACATTGGTAGTCCTAATGATCAAACCAATACGTTCATGAACAACAAACTGTATTCCAAATGGAAAGTTCCATTTTTAAAGAAATCTTACCGTTTCATTCAGCGACAGCATAAAACATTACAGCCAAACATCAAAGTTCATGCTCAATAATCCAGGTAGAAAATCCAACAAAGTTCAGTCAGCTCATATGGATGGTTTCTTTTTTTTTTGTTTGTTGTTGAGACGTTTCATCCTTCATTAAAAGGACTTCATCAGTTCGAGGAGCCACAACAAACTGAGTCTCACAAGCAGCACACTCACAGTGAACCAACCAGTTTAATGGTGATAAGATGGTTTCCGGGGCCCGCCCTCTCCCCCGTCGACTCCTCTGAGGCAGCCATAGCCAAAGTGGTTCAAAACAGCAAAGTTCATGCTCAGTAATTCTTTATTGATGAAGTCCTTTGGATGAAGGACGAAACGTCTCAACAACCAAAAAAAAAAAAAAACGTCCAGATGACCTGACTGAACTTTGTTGGATTAAAGTCAAACCTATTAAAGAAAATTAGTAACACAGTCATGTTTCGCAGAAAATGTAAGGTTATTCAAAGTGGAACATGTCCAAGTATTAATTATTTCGTGCAACTATTTTATTTGGTAACCAAGAAATGTCATACTAAAGTCCCCAACCCTTCCCTTAAAAGAATAAGGAGAGAATTAAAAGCTATTTTATTAGCACTGTATTGGTATAAAGCAGTTACTCAGCTGTGGTAGGAAGTTGCCTTCAGCCTCAAGTTCTGTGTGGTTTTTGGTTTTGGTGTGCCACTTCAAGATTATCACATATCGTATTTTTCGAACTATAAGTCGCACTTAAAATCCCTTAATTTTCTCAAAAATAGACAGTGAGCCTTATAATCAGGTGCGCCTTATGTATTAATTCTGGTTGTACTTACTGACCTCGAACCAATTTTATGTGGTTATTGTGAATGAGTTGAATAAAGTTTAACTTATCTGACTGTTTTGTTTCGCTTAATGCGCCTTATAGTCTGAAAAATACGGTACATTAAAGCTTTCTGGAAGCCACTGCCTTACTTGACTGTTGAAAAACCTTGCAAGTAAGACATACATAAAATCAACACAAAGGGTTAAAAAGGGGCAGAAAATTCAAAATAATTTCTTAGAAACTTTCCAGAAACTTTCTACAAGAAGTTACTACATGTCCAGGTGACAAAGTTAATCATTTTTAGGGCGTCATACTACGCTCTGTATTGAATGAAATGAATGAAATCTATTTTCAGCAACTATATTTAAAATTCCAGGTAAGGCCCAACTTTCAGTACGGTAATTAAAATTCCAGGTTTGTTCATGTATATTTCCATAATTCCTGTTAATCCTAGGAAGTTTCCAAATGAATAGTTAGGGAAATGAAGGCCCCCATGTCAGTACTTTACCTTGGACCTCAAAATAACTAAACCCGTCTCTGAGTGGGCAGATCTAAGAGTTATGTGCCTGGGGCACATTGACCTTATTGTTTTGTCCTTTTGGACAGGTTTTGGGTTGGCTAATCAGCCTTTAATTGTTTTGGGCTGTGGCCTATACCGCCCGCCAATAACTAGGCTGGTTTCAGGGAGCTCATCCTCTCAGGCTCACTCCGTTTGCTCTCACATTTTGGGCCTCTCAGAAGCTTTCTCCATTTTGGGCCTCTCAGAAG